TTAAGCAGAGAATTTCTTGAGCGTATGGTCACAGTATATCATTCTTTTTCTCATCCCTTCTAGTTTTTGGCCTTTTTGCATGTGGTCAATTTCATCATGCAGGTTTTGTTTTAAATGTCGAATTTTTACCATAATTCTTTATTCCCCCTGCAGTACTGGGGTTTTAACTCAGGACCTCACACTTCCTAGCAGGCACTCTGTCCCTTGAGCCACACTGCCAGCTCATTTTTGCTTTAGTTATTTTTCAGGTAGGTTCTCATGGTTTTGCTTGGTTCAACCTCAGACCTCGATCCTACTACCTGCAGCTTCCCATAGGTGCTGCACACCATAGGTTCACCTTACGATACCCTTATTAATTGAGATGGGTGTCTTCCTGACTGTTACCCAGGCATGACTTCCCAATCTCTCTCCTGAGAGCTGGGATAATATGCATGAACCACTGTACACAACTCCAATAATTCTTTTTTTGAAATGATTATAAAATTGGTTTATGGTAAAAGAAATTCAAGAATAACTTGCTAAATTCTTATCCTCATCCTACGCAGTACAACCAAGAAGCATTAAACACTTTTACACTAGGAATAAGGACATACACAGGAAAGACCACATCAAGGCTGTGATTCAAGAGGAAGAAGGACCCCCCGTGTCCTTCAGGTGGGTACAGGGGTAGGATAAGAGCAGAGCACTGTGTCAGGTCCTGCAGTGCCACTGCAACATTGAGGTACAACTGTAGCCCCAATAATTCTTAAATGGCTTGCACTTTCTTTCTGTTTTCTGATCTTTACCCAAAGCATTTTATTACCATATTACCAAAGCAATATCTCAAAGGTTGTTTGTTGTTCAGGTACACATTGTCCTCCATGTCTTATCTTCCTTGGTTGTGTGTTTACATTTACGGATGAAGATCCAAGAGTGTCCTAAGGATGCAGGGTGTGCTTCTAAACTGCTTTATTTGGACTTCTATTTTACTGATGGGATTTTTTACATGGTGAGTCATGCTGATAATAAATCGTCATTTTAATCACCGTGTGTGGATCTTGCCTGACAGGATGTGTGTCCCGTACATGACATTAAAGATGCTCTGATGTTTAATTTTATTTGTCTACCTGGCTGGCCCGAAATGCTTGGATATTTAACTGGGCAATATTCAGGATGTTTCTGGAAAGTATGTTTGTATGCGATTCACGTATGTTTTGCATCCTTTTTATGTCATGATCAGTCAGGTGAAGAGAAAGGAGGACACAGGAGGGAGTCCAGGAAGCAGGTGTGTTATCCTCAGAGGTCGTAGAGAAAAGCTGCATGGTTCATGAAGCAGGGCCACATTCAGGAGTCACGAAGGTTCAGAGGCAGAAGGCAGTAGCCACGGGAAGGAGAGATCAGACTCGGGGTTCTTTGGCAAAGGCAGGCAGAATAGGGAGAACAGTTTATGAGGGGCTTATGTGAAAATTTCTATGGGATTTCTGCTGCAAGTTGGTTCCTGGTTCTGGGATGAGGAACGCTGTGTCCTGGTTGTGTGGGAAAGAGAGGGTAGGATGTCTCAGGATTGCCAGATTTGCCTATTACAAGCCTGCTCTTGAAGTGGCCCTGAGATATCTCTCAGATCTGGCTAGTGCAGGGGGGATCACCCTCTCCCCAATCAGAAAAGGTTTTTTGTTTTGATTTTGATAATGTCACATGTCATAATATGTGGAATATAGAAAATGGGTAAGACAGAGTTTAAATTTATAGATGTTGTATTGGCTAGTTGATTGATGTGTTTCTATCGCTGAGACAGAGAGAACCCCTAGGAAATTCTTGCTTGATCTTTGTGAAAGATATGTGAAAGTGGTTAGAGACAACATGGAGTTCTTTGTGTCGAGCTCAAAGAATAAAAAGAAATAGATAAAGCTGGGAAGTTATGAGAAAGGGTTCATATGCATGGTTATCTGAGCATCATAACTATTGTACAACAGACTGTACTTTAATGCCCAGCTGGTGTACAGGACACCATAACATTCCACACAAGGGATCTCTGCAAGGGCATCCGCCCCCACCCATCTGTCCAACCTCGTACCCATGGCACTCTTGTTATTGAATTGCTGCGGCAATCCTCCGTACTTTTGATGCTAAATACTTCTTGCTGTAACCTCAGTGCATGTGTCCATAGCTCACTATGTCACACATATTTCATAGCAGTGTCTTGTCACTTGCATGACAAAGTTCTGCTATTGTCAAACAAATATTATTTGAAGATTCTCACTCTGGATTTTAAATTTTATTGAGGTTGATTTCTGTCTAAGCAGAAAACTGCTAAGTGAAAAAAAATAAAAGTCTTACTTGAATCATACATCAGAGAGTTATAGCCTCTCATAAATTCCAAAACTGAAAGCCAGTTTATGGACCCAAATCACCTCAGGGTAGGTGCAGTCGGGCTGACTTGGGAAAGTATATCTTGTATTTCTGAACAATTGAGCTGCTCATACTTCTCTTTAACCATGGGCCAAGTTCCATGCGGCCTGAGGTGTTCATGAACTGACTCCTGTCTGACCCACCAGGCCATAAAGATGAGCATGTGTAGAACAGCCCAAAATTAGTGGAAGGGTGGTTATCCCTCGTCAGCTTGAGCAGGGTCTGCAGATATAAGCCAGGTATAGGGAAAAGTGGCCCCAATGCCCACACTCCCTCCTCCTGCCAACTGAGATTGCATCTCAGAATAGAACAGTCCTGGATTGCTTCTTGGTGTTCAATGATGGGAGCACTGCTACCCACATCATTCAAACCACTGTGTCTGGTTACCAAGAATGCCTGAAACCACTTACTGTCCTTTCAAAACCCTGTCTCTTCCTTTCTTAACCTTTTTCTACAGATGAGGGTATTGTATAGAAGTCCACCACTGGAGGCTGGAAGCAAATGCTTTTATCATGGTTGACTTTCATTCGTCCTCATAATGTATGGGAGTGAATGGTGAAGTTGATGTTGCAGACTAAGGAGGCGAGGATATTGTGTGAATTGTGAGGAGGTGTCAGAGGTGGGCTGGAAAATAAGAAGGGTGCTTTTTCACACCCATGGGTGTCTGCAGGCCCACAGTGAGAAGTCCTGGAAAAACAGGTGTAGTTCAGTCATAACTATGCTTTGTGATATGAAAACTAGGTGTGTACCTGTGGCTAAGTGAAAGCCCATGTTCCAGGGACGCAGACATCAGCCCCAGCGGATGAAATATCAGTTGAAAGCTTTTAATGGTCATGAAGGAGGTACTAGTTCTAAGGTTAGCCACCCACTTCCTTAATCCAAAAGAAGAGGCAGCGGTCCGGTGGCTCTGTAGATGAACCAATCCACTGAGTAGTCTGCTGAGACCCTGATTGGGATGAACTCCTGCCAGACACCAGGAGGCTCTGCAACTGTGTTCACTGTTCTCATTGGGTATCTGTGCTCTCATGTGGACCCCTGCATCACTTACATGTGGGCTTGGTGATAAAATCAAATGGAGGCAACATCACTCAAGCCTGACCTTCCTTCCTGGAGACCTGGCAGACTTTGTGCACTGGCCTATCTCTCATCATAAACCGTTACGCTAATACTCCATTTTATTAACCTCTTCCAGATTGATTCACAAGACTCATTTTGGTCTGCAGAAGGTTTGCTTCAGGAAATTTCTATTTATTGAAAGGATGCTTTACTTCTGTAACTGGGCGTCTGTTTTTGAACCCCCTGTCTTTCGCCCCTCACATGCAGTTTTTCCCTTCCTCAGAACAGGAACCAGTAAGTAGGCTATTTTCAGGGCAAGTAGATTCACACCATCCTGCTTATCAACATTGTGTCTTGTCATTATGAAACGTGGAGAACTCTTGCAGCTGTAAGCAAGAAATAGAAACACCTCAGACTGTTGGCTATGGATGCATGACTAGCACATTTGATGGAGGAAGGAGTGACAGCTCTGCAACGCAAATGAATGTTTTCTTCCCAGGAATTTCTGAGTAATTGATCTTTGGACTAATGAAAAGTCAAACCTGAGAAGAGCTCACTTGCCAAGAATGAGGACCATGGGGCTGCATGGAATTTGTTTCTGACAGACTTTCAGCTGTGCAGAAATTCAAGCACCTCTCAAATAAGATTTCACCCCATCTTGCGTTCCCTCAAACCCATGACATCTGTTTTCGAAATGCTATGTGTGCACCATGCCAAGAGCACATCCCAAAATATCCTGTCTCCCTGTCTTTAGTTACACTGGTCCCTCCTACCTGAATCTACACACGAACATGTGTGTGAAACCGCAGATCCTTTCCTGTCACACTGAAGTGACGTTACTCTATGGAGACCTCCCTGTCTTTAGTTACACTGGTCCCTCCTACCTGAATCTACAGACGACCATGTGTGCTGAACCGCAATCCTTTCGTGTCACACTGAAGTGACTGTTACTCTATGAGACTTCATAGGTTCTTTTTTTTTTTTACTGGCATGGCCATTTATTTTATTTTATTTTTTTTGGTTTTAACAATAAGTTAAAAAATTCAGTACAAACTAAAACTTTTTTGCCCTTTTAAACAAGACCAAGTATTGATTTGCCAGTACTTTTCTAATATTTTTTTCCTTTTGTACAAATTTTCTAACATTTAAAATGTCCAAATCTGAATAATTTTCTTCTTTCCACGTTTGCAACAGCCTGAATTTCAGCTGCAGGAATAAAATTCAGCAAGAGCCTCTCCTTAAAATACTGACAAACTGTCAGCTTATGAACAATGGACATTTTGATTGCCATTTTATCTTGATAAATACTGTACAAAGCTTGCTTGCAAATACTAAAACTTTTTCATCGCTTGGAGACTAGCTCTTAGATATTATTGTAAAGACTTTTTGCAAACTTCCTGCGCAGCTTCTTACAACCACTAGAACTGTTCTTAAAAGTTTTGCATAGCTT